TCTAGAGCCAGTGTTTACAAAATGGTCCTGTTTTGCAAAATAGCAAATTCTGCCATTATTAAACAGAATTCCAAAGACTGCACAAAACCTTACTGTTAAACTTCATAGTATGCAGCAGAAACACATGGAAAGAAAATGTAACCCTGCAATGTATTTTACTCAGATGAAAGTACAGAACCACAAAGCAATGCTGAAAATGCACGGAGACAGTAGAAACACAAGAGCCCTACTACAGAATTGACGTTCAGACCAAGTAACTTCCTTGTCATGAACTGGCTTTCCCTCAGCTCTTCCTTTCCTTTGGTCTGCAGACAAACAAATGAACATCTTTCCTCCTCCTGTTTCTTGTCTGAACAGGAAAAGATAAATTCTCCTGTCTCCTTTTTACCTTCTCCCCCTCTCCTTCATCCATGAGCTAACTGTAAGGAACAAGGAAGAATTTTTTCCAAATTCTATGGTCTTTGTTAAGGCTGCAACAAAAAACCCTGTTTGGTCTTCATGCTAATTTCTTCACCAAGATTTCCACTGATCTAGAGTCTGAGGCCTAGGGGAAAGCACTCTGATGGGCTAGATTTAGGCTGTGTGCAATTCCACACAGTTCCCAAACATCTTCCAGAACAAATAAAATTCAATTAAAAATATGTATAATTTGCCCATGGCTGACAACAATTAAGGGAGTGAAAGCAGGTGAAGCGATACCCATCAATTACTGTCAGCCAATATGGTAACTGGTTCATAAATAAAATGGCCTGGATGAAATAAATCTACCTAGTGAAAGACCTATGTAACTAAGGAATATAAGCAGCACACTTATAATTTGAGAAAAGCTGAAGTTCCAAAAACTGTAGAAAAATATTTCTCAAAAAATGTTTTTTTTCCAACAGAGGCTTCAGTACCACCACTAAAAAAATGCCTTCTGGTAGAAAATCTACTGCAAAAGAAGGTGAAGGACATGGAATGATGTAAATTAATATTTACACCCTGTAAAATAATTTTGTGATGATGGAGACCTCTTTGGAAGTCTTCATGAAAAGGCAGAAACTGAGTAAGAGAGTGGCACAGTGCATTTACAGTCTAAGAGAAGTACCGGATTTTGAATCCTAACACATTATTGCACTCTGCAAACACACTTCACATGGATGGCAAAAACATCAGCCAACAAGGTGATCATTATGTGCTTTTGGGAGGCAAGGACAGATAAACATAGTGCAGCTGTCAAGTCTCTCTGCCAGTATTTTTAATAAAATTCAGAGACAGCATTTAGCATCACCCTCCTACTATTCCTTGTTGGCTCAGTAGAACAAAGCCTTTGTTATACTCTAAGCACAGTGATTTCAGCTATTTATTCACTGTGACCTATTAGCACTCACATGATCCGCTTGCACACAAAAGGTCCCTAAGAAAGAGAGAGAGAAATGACTAGCTCTTTAGGTTGCTGGAACAAAATAAAACAATGTACTTGTCAAAACTCTAATATTAACAGCAATCAAATAGTTTCTAAACTACATTACCATAGAAGAAAAATTGTGTCTATTTAATAAGTATCTAAAATAGTCCAATCCACTTTCCTTGTACATGCAGTAAGCCACACAAGAAGAAATTGCTGTATTTATTGATGTATGTTTGCTTTTAGCTGCACAAGTTTAGAGAATGCTAGAGAAAGAGGGTTAATGCATTAATCCTTGAGACAGTGAAGGAGTCCTCTGAATTCATTTTTGACACCCCCAAAATAAAACACTGGGGGAAAAATAAGATCTGCTGGCACAAAAACATAGCTCCTTGTGTTTGCAGACTTTTGAAACAGTACACTGCTAACAATGCCCCAAGTTTATCAGGATAAATACACTGAGCAGAAAATTTTTAAAGTTTTAATCCAAAGTAAACTTAAAGCTGTAACAAAACCTATATTTGTTCTTAAAAAACCTTCCTTGACAGTGTCATTTGGGATATGGTGAAAGAGAAGCAGTATATGATGATGCATTTCTGCTTCAGTGCTTGATATGTCCCACCAAAAATTCTTGAAAGGAAACTATACAGACAAGCTTTATCTATGTGTTATGTATACAACAGCCCAAACTAATCTGTTCTCAGAGGCTGAATCAGCAGTTCACTGAGAGAATTTCCAGTGGAGTGCCATCTGAGTCTGACATGGATGCAATTTGTTCAAAGCCCTTCTGCTTCTATTTAACACTTCTACTTAAAAGGAACATGAAAGTAAGAGTATTTTCAAAAAACGGTCTGAACTAAGAAAGCAGAAAATCTTGGTAACATTATTAGCATACAAAATTATTTTCACAAATTGATAATGTAAAAATCCAGAAGATATATTTCAGTAAAGGAAAGTGTGTAGTAGTATGCTTAAGAGAATTCAAAAATACAAATGCAAGATGGAGAATAACCAGGTATGCAGTAAGTTAACAGAGAAAGATCAGCAATTATGGTGGATAACAACCTGAATTAAGTAAAAAACGTTACTAACTTTCCAAACCTGCAATTCTTATATTGCCATGCATTAATATGAATACCATCTGTACTGTGTAATATATAATTTTCTACTCTAATGTTATTCATAATACTGGTAAAGGCTGTCCTGGGTGAATATATCAAAGAGTTTGCTGTCGATTCAGCCATGGTCTGGAAGAAAGAAAATAGTAAAACTTGGAAAATGTTGACCACTGGAGGCACTTTGTCCTACAGGACCAATGTCTTCCTACACTAAAGGTTGTAATAAAGAGAAAAAATTATTTGTAACTTTCTGAATTATCTGATAAGGCACTAAGATAATAGTAACTAAAAGTACCCAATTTCTAAAAACTGGAGAGAGGCAGGGGAGAGAGAAGGAATTTACAAAAACTCTGGAAATTAACTACTGAATATTTTATTACAAGACCTAGATCTTGAGCTTTTAACTGAAGGCAGAATAACACATTTACACACACACCCCCAATCATTACTTACTATTTGTCACTGCATTATAACTTTTTCATGGTAGTCACTATGAAGTTCTAGCTCTTGAACATCTGTTCTTTCAAAGTACAGAAATAAGCAGACCACCAAGAAGTCTACTTGCTTGCTCTATCTAGAAATACACCTCAAACACCAGCTATTTGGTAGTAATGTTTTTTACTTGAACAAGAGCCCACACCTGTGCTAAACTTAAGACTCCTAAATATGAGTTAGTTCAGAGGTGCCTCTGCATTCCCCTGAAAAACACCCCATGGTGTTCAAACTGCACAGGATGTCAGGGTTGATTTATTATGCTAAATTTTGGCCAGGGAGATCAGTTTCACCCTGGAGATCAGGAAGTGGGCACGGAACAGTATTTCCACTATAGCTATTTCTTCTTTTTAACAGAATGAGCTCTTGACCACTGCAACTTTCACTGCTCAAATCCCTTACATTCCTTAAAGACTTTTTTTAGAAGTCAATGCTCTCAAATGCCCAAAGACCAATTTTTCAGCTCAGAAGTCTGACATAACCTGAGCGCGCACTAACTAACAGTTGCCACCTTTACTGGCCACAGTGACATACCAAGGTTAAATCGATCATCTGTTACTTTGTTTCAGTCCATAAGTTTATGAAATGTTTACAAATGGTTCAATATAAATAACAGTAATAAATTTCAAAAGACAAAATATGCAAGGAGTCATAACTCTCATGATATTGATATGTTACCATCAGTACCACGTTTATACATGTTCTTTGCCATTATTCCTTCTCCATGTGCATACAAGAAATCACCATCCTGCTTCTATGTCTAGGAAGTTACTTTGATAATAGCTTCAGGAAAAAAAAACTCCAAACATTTTCTATTAAAATTATCCTGTTCCACTATTTTTTTTATATTTGTGAAAAATTATTAACTTTGCAGTCAAGCTTTTAAGAAACATTTTTAACTTTGCAGTCAAGACAAAATGTTTGTTTACCAGCAACAGCAAGAAGCAGCATTATTTCTGGATTACCATTTGCAGTGGACTTTTTAAAACTGAAACATGATTTCCGAAGAATTAGATGTGGCAAACACAGGGGCACTGATTGTTCAGATGTTCAGAAAGGTGGACACAGTACCCTCTAATTAAAGTATTCCAGCTCTAATTTCACAGGGCAGTGTTCAGAGGAGCACTGTGCAGCCCTCATGACGAGAGAGATTCAAGTGTCTTCTGAAATACTTTAGGCACAGCATTAACATTCCTTGAGACAGTGTATCTGTTAAATCTATCACTATATCAAATTTTCTGTGTAGGCTGTGGATTTAACAGGGTGACTGCTATACTTCTTTAGCCACACTGACATATGAGAGGTTTTATAAAACCTCATAGTGACTTACTCAAAGCCTTTATTTACCAAAAAAAAAAAAAAAAAAAAAAAAAAAATTTTCTGTGTAGGCTGTGGATTTAACAGGGTGACTGCTATACTTCTTTAGCCACACTGACATATGAGAGGTTTTATAAAACCTCATAGTGACTTACTCAAAGCCTTTATTTACCAAAAAAAAAAAAAAAAAAAAGCCCTTTTAGTCAGACATTATACAACTTCCACTCTTCCAAGTAAAATTTAAAAAAAACCCCTCCAACGTCCTAAAAACAATGAAACAAGCAAGCCTGGGCGTATAAAAATGTGCACCTGGATCAACTGGTTAAAATGAAAAAAAATTTATATATATATTTATATATATATATATAAATTTTTATATATATATATTTATATATATATATGGACTGCATATGGATTGTATATGAATATATATGATATATTTTATAAGCATTATATATGAATGTACAATTTATAAATATGTAACATAAATAATAATATAAATAATAATAATATATAAATATAAACATAAATAATTAATATGTGTAATATAATATATAAGACCTGTACTAATACAGAGAATATATTTAAGATCTATTTCCCCCGGCCCGCCCCGGCCCCGCCGCACTCACTTGATGACCGTGCCTTTGGCGCCCCCTGCCGTCGTGAGCATGACGCGCGTCGTGAGGCTCCCGCGCAGGTCGTCCTGGTCGAGGCCCAGCAGGGCGGCGCAGCGCTCCAGCGACGGCTGGCTCCGCGCCCGCGGCGTGCAGCCCCCTGCCGAGAGACACACACACCGCGTCACGCACCGCACAGCACCCGCACCCCCTTGAGGGACACACACACCGCGTCACGCACCGCACAGCACCCGCACCCCCTGAGGGACACACGCCCCGCGTCCCGCACCGCACAGCACCCGCACCCCGCGCACCGCAGCACGGCAGGGCAACAGCCACCAGCTCAGCTCTAAGGAAGATACTGGCCAGCGATGATCCTACCTAACCTGACCTTGCTGGTCATCGTCCACTAACATGTAATGTTACCAGTGAAGGTAATGTCAGCTTTGAAGGAATTAAAGGTTTGCCTCTGGAAATTACTTCATGTAGTTAAATGGGAAGAGTCAGTTTTGAAAACCCAAGAAAATACCACAAAATAAATGCAAAAACAACCCCCTGCCAAAAACTACGCACGTAATTCTATATTTCTAGAACACTGTCCAGGCTGTTCAAAAACCAACCTGCGCATAGGGAAGCACTATCCCAAAATGCAGAAGTGCTAACACCTACAAACTAGTTGTAGTGACTTAAAACTTCTGGACTTAGATATTCCTGTGATCCTCCAGGCCTCCTTGCTATGCAGCAGAAGTGCCTGGCATGGCAGACTCCTGCCATTTGCATTTTTCAGATAAAGGTATGTACACTTCCTAAGTAAACAGCCAAGAGAAGTGCTCCCTTTTGCTCTCTGCACCTCAGCCCTCTGTGCCAGGACTAGGCCAGCACAGATCTCCCAACTGGAGCACAAAACACTTAGGGAAAATCTAACAGATATTTACATGTATTTCCTGTTTTTTTGCAGTAAGAATTTGTTCACAGTAAAATTTATTTCTACAGGTAAGTGAAGAGGCCAAAAGGGATAAATGAGTAGTCAAACATCACTTGAATTCTTTCCATTCCTCTACAATGACACTAAAGGGGGGGGGGAGGGGGGGGAAGGAAGGGAGTCCTTAAAAGTTTAAGGCTTTTGTGACTTAATTTTGGATGCTCTGAAATACCATCTGACTTGTAGAAAACAACTTTTGTTTGGTGTTTCCCAGAAAGCAGTAACAGAACTTGAGAGGGTCTCTGGTAAGAGACATACTGCCTGGAACAGTTGGAATACACACCCTGTGTCAACACACATACAAGGTGAGAGCAGAATAAAGCTCAATGCAATGATCATTTCAGAAGTTCAATAATTTATTCCAGAAGAAAAATTTCTCTGAAATTCAACATTCAGAGAAGATAAGTTTTCTGGTGACCTTCCCTTTTCTAAACCCTGACTTTCCTCACCATCCGTGGTTCCTCCTCTTCTTGTTTGTTTGCCTCCTGAAACTTCCTCTCCACTCACATTTGCACCTTTTTCACTCTGTTCCACCTTGTCAACCCCAAAGTCCCAACTCACAAAAGACCCAAACAGGGAAGCTCCCTGAGAAGCTTGCTGTTGAACTCCAAGAAGCCTTTACCCTTCTCTACCCCTGCATTCAGATTCATTCACATTAATCATGTTCATTTCAGTCATTTTTGTAAAGATGGAAACATCATGAACTGACACTGGGGAGGTTCTGATTCAACCTATGGAAAGGAGATGAGGAAAAAAACCAAACAAAACAACACCTGCTCTGTGCCAAACCTAAGATACCCAGTCTGAATTCAGCATTTGCCCAACTGATGGGATTAGAGACCTCCCATGATCTCTTCTGAACAGAATGTTCTGTACAGTTCCATGGTGATTCTGTGCTTGGGGTCAGGAGCTAGTGAACCTGCGAGGCTAGTACTCATTTAACTCATTTAAAACACCTATTAAAATGTTCTTTGGTATGCCCTTCCAAACAACTTTACTAACAGCTATACATACTTGAAGCAGGACCAAGAGGAACCAGTATCTTGGAACTCAAGGTAAAGACCTAGATGCTTATATCTTCTACAATAGTTGTATTTGTAGTACATCCAGACTATGAGTTTCTTCAGTCCTTCAGGAATATATAGACAGCAGTTCTCAATTTAGAGAGGCTGATTTCAGTAGTAAGGGAGGAATGACAATCCTCAAAATATCAATTCTCCTTCCTCCACTTTCCTGCACATTCTGCTGTTAAGTCCCAGCTACACCTGTACTAACTCATCTTGTGAGTAACATCTTAAAATTAGGAAGTTTATATTGCCCTAAGTTTTTGCTGTAACTTTTTTTTTCCTCACCTCTCAAAATACTACCATGATGGTATTCTTGGAAGCCAAAGGACATAATGCCTTTCCCTACAGATAGTTTCTAATTACAAGATATTTTCATGAGGTTAGTGAGAAGTTGGACTTTAAAATTATCATTAAAACACAAGTATGATTTTGTGACACAGAATGTCTCTTTCCTTTATATTAAACTCTTCACTGAACATTTTCATTGAAAGCCTACTTGCTTTTAGAGCATGTTAAGGAGTACAATTTTAAAACAAGTAGGTAAACTTGACTTCCAAAGGGGGTAAATTAAGACTGAATTACCCTTGAACACAAAGCAGCTTTCTAAAGCCATAATTCACATGGAAAGGAAACATCTCTAATCAAGAGACATTTCCAGTCTTTTTACAGAAAACAATTTACGCTTCATCTAACCTGATGTACTCCCAGCTTCCTCAAAATCAATATTTCCAAGATGAAGGACACCAGCCACTACTCTAAAAAGATCAAGTTTTTCTTCATCATCCAGTCCAATCTTTTTCATTGCTGTGCACATTCTGTTGAAATCTCCATGATCATCTAACAGTGGATCCTTCAAGGAACCTTCTTTAAGATACTATAAAACAAGATAAACCACAAATTTAGTAAGCGATTTGAAGTAGGTAGGCAAATATTTCCAGTCAAGAATAAGCCATAACAAAAAGCATAAAAAAGCATGCCAAACTAGGTAAAAAGAGATTTGAGCTCTTCATGTAATAAAGGCTTCGCAAGGACCCTAATTTATTTTAACTTGTTGATACTTCGAAGCACGATCTTCAAACTTAAATTTCAGAGCAAACTTCAAACTATCTTCAGAAAGCAGAAGTTGGAGAATGTGACAGCTAAGGACAAGGGAACACGGGATAGCAAGCAGGAGAAAGGGAGACTTCAGCTAAGAGAGCTATCAAAGCATTTATACAAAGGAGTCCTTCGAATCCCAAGCAGTTGAAAGAAGATCGAGGTCCTTGTAGGATGACAGAATAACAGGCCATGGAAAAGGACCATAGGACAAGTCAGTTATCCCTATTCTAAACAGAATTATTTAGAGAAATGTACTTGTTAATATTTGCTGCTAATTAAGAAATAGAACTTGCAGTGGTCTATGGGTTAGAAGAATAGCAGCTATGTTCTGAAATACCAATTTAACATTTTGCTAATTTTTCTGATTTATATACATAGAAAGCTATTTTAACTATAAACGAGTTTAAACAGTAGATAGTAACACATCTGCATGCAATCAAGAGACTACCTGAACATGCACAGAGTGAGCTACGTTTTTACAGTTATTTTTAAATTTTTTTCAACTAAAAAGAATAATTAACTAAATAGAAGCCTTGTTAATGTCCAATAAGCTAACGTCATTTTTATCAAAACAAAACACCACATGCATCTGAAAAATTCACTTCACACAACATGTAGGCACATCAATAACATTAAACTACATGTTAATTATGTAAAATGATCACCTCATCTTCCTGATAAGGAAAACACAAAAATAATTGAAGTATTAATTAACTATTCCAGCTAATTTATTAAAATAAACAATCTTAGTATTTTTTATAAAATGACAGAGTAAATACTAAATTTCCAATTTAAAAAGCTCAACAAGGTAATATATTTCCTGTTTAAATGGCTAGACTAGGTTTAAATATCATTGAACTTTGATCCTCTAATGAGCCTTCAAATTGATATACCTGTAACATACAAGTACTATTGTATCAAAAGTTCCAGTACTTTATGTTTTACATATATTTTCAGAATTATTCTCTAAGTATGTTTTAGTTTAGACAACACTTATTTCAAAGTCAGTCTTCTCTTATTTCAAATTAAGTCCTTCAGAGGACAAGTTTTATGACAGAACACCCGCCTGTAAATCATATCAGTAACAGAAGATTGCACAGGTTCATCTCCCAGTAGCAAGAGTACGTGAATGTTGATATTCTATGCCTACATAAAGACCTGACCAGCGTCGCTACAAATCTTCATGTAAGGCAAATTGGGTAATCTGAGACAAAATCTCCAACCCATATCATAGCCTATATGCCTGACATGAACAAAATAAGCTATGAGCTTTCTGCCTCACAGTAATGTAAAATCACTCTCCACCATCCCTGATTATAGAAAATAGCGTACGTTTAAGCAAAAGAAATCAGGATTATGTGCTCAGTGTTACAACATACAACCACTAGAAATCAAGGAGTAAACAATGCTGACTTGAGAAAAGGAAGTATCTATACTGTGTGTCATAGCTAGGCATGAGCTTCAAGCCCAAGTTATCAAAAGTAAAAGAGATGGCGTGGTGATTTGGTGGAAAGAAGCTTTTGAGTAAAGTTATTTTTGTATTTTTGCCAATATATGCAGCTTATCCCGCTACGGAATCACAAATACGGATTTGATTAATATTTGAAATATCTTCCAGCTATACAAATGAATTTCATTCTTGAGGTATGAGTAGAAGAAAATTTTATTAGAGAACAGAGAAGAAGTTTAATTCTGTGTTTAAAGAACTTCCAATTCATATATACTATTAATTCAGAACAAATTCTTTAGTATCCTCATGTAAACAAGCTCAAAGGCTTAAATGCTAAAAAATCCTGGTAATTCCAGTTCTAAAAAAACATAAACAGAGATGGAGCAAGAGGACATAAATGTTTTTAAGTTTCACACTTTCTTCCAGGAAATGCCATGCTCTGACATAACTAGCCGTTAACAGCATGGGGAAAACAAAAACCATGAAAGTGTATCAAGGAGGAGAATATATTCATGCTAGAAGTGAGGTTGAGTTATAACTGATATCTGAAACAGTTTGGAGCATCCCTTCACAACTCCAGATAGTAAAAATGGCTCTGGGAAAAAAACATTGCTTCTGACTTATTCTTAGCAGTAGTAAGATTTTAAAAAGGAAAATTACAGAAAGTCTTGGATAGATTTTTGTTTTCCACGGAAGACAAGCTGCATAATTTAGTGTTACCTTATTATAAGAATGAAAAGGAAACCATTTTATATACACTGTTCCGCTTGGGATTTTACGATGCATGTTAAAATGTATTTCTAGGACTGAACTCCAAAACAGAGATCTGAATAGAGCAGCTTTGACAGTACCCATTAGACCTATAAAGATGTGTAAAATTCATTCCATTCTGTAAAAGTATAATAATTTTCTACTCTATCTGCATTAGTTAATAATATAAACTAACTGAAGATACAAACATACCTCAGGACTCTTGCGATTTTGCAAAATCTGTTTGTCCGTTTCTTTGTTAGCGAAAAATCTGGTACAGCCTCGATTTAAATACTGTAACAATAAAAAAGTGGAAGTGGATACTTAAAGACAGAAGTAAGGAAAATGTATGCTTTTATTTAAGGCTTGCCCTACATAGCTTGATTTAAACATATGATACAAACAATACAGTGAGTAGTCAGAATTCATTCCTTACAAATGTGTTTATTTACATCTACAAAATCAAAGAACTACAACAGTAACAAACTTCTATTGAAAGCTTCTTCATTTTGACAACTAAAATACTTTTTGACACTTTTTGGGATATTAATTTTGTTAAGTCACACAATATTTTCCTAATGTTTGATTCTATTAAACCTATTAATGGAGTCTGGGATTACATAAAAGACAACCAAAATTAGGAACAAAAGAAATTAAACTTTTGGCCTATGTATAATACCAAAGTACTAATTTTTTTCCTCACCAGTGAAATATTTCTAGAAGTAGCAAGAGATATAATGTATTCAAAAACCTGAAGAATATTAAAAGCTTGTAACATGCTATAAGCAGAAGCCTTATTCAAAACCTGGCTTCTGATATACATGTTGTACAGTAAATTCAGATTTACTATTCAGTAAATCATAGTGAATTTAGATTCAGATAATGACTGCCCTTTTCAGCAAAACAGGATCGCCAGCTTTTTCTTTCAGATTTGTTCAGC